CATTTCATTTCTAGGCACGCAGCCAGACATCACAAAATCATCGCGACAGTTAATTCCGATGAGTACAAGCGGTTCCAAGGAGAAAACCACAGGCGGAATGAGTAGCAGTTCTCAATCTGACGTTGTGATCGAGGATGCTCAGCTTATGCCTGTTCGCGAGAACGGTAGGTTCTTTTGTAAACGATGTTGCTAGTGCTGACAACTGAAGCCTATTTAATGACCCGAGTTTCGCGAGTACTATTTTGGTTAACCCTTTTTTTCGAATAGTAAATGACTCGGTACTTTCGTTTTAGGGAATCACTTTGAATTGCCGTGCTCCACACTAGGTTCGCCATCCAGTAGTATGACGCATTTTCTTGACACACCTGATGGCAAGAGTGTCAGTACGGATCAGTGGCAAGGTTTGTTTTTTGCAACCGCATTCCAGATCCTCTCTGATCTTTCTCAGATGTGAATTTGCTGGTAGGGGAGAACCCTAATCGTGGCTCTGCAGATAGTTTGGCGCAGATATCACAGTTGATTTCGTGGTTTTCCAGTTCTGGTTGCATAGATTGGGTGTTTTTGGTAAGCGTTATGTACACTTTGCTTGATACAAAGCATCTTGTGTTACTTTCAGTTATGCGTTGTTTCTCGAGATGTTGTACGATTGCGGGCTGAAGTTAATGCAGACTCAGTGCGAAAAGCGGGATTGGATGCGCTAAAGCAAACTCTGAAAGGCTGCGGGGAACTTGTGGACTGGGCTGCGCAGAATTGGTGGGTGAAATCTATCCGTTAATGTTCTCTATATCTTAACGAGTTGGGAACATCGACTTAGTAAATAGCATTGATTTTTGGCAGCGGTAGTAGGAGCATCACCAAAATGCTATCAGTTCCAACAGCTTATTACCCAGTTTTCTTCCCTCAACGAATTTTGATCAGACCGGGATAGCTATGATAGTTTTAGGCCGGGTTCATACTGTCCGTAAGTCCGGCAATAGTTCGAGCACAGTCGAGCGCTGCAATTCGAGCGGTGTGCTGGAACTGTTCCGGAACCAACAGATTAGTATGAACCCAGCCTTACATAGCTATGGCTTCCTGCTCTTGAAAGCTGGGGTGATCATTTTTTGGACTGTTGTGATTTACCTTGCATCAAATCAATATCATCAATATCATTTGTTTCACTGTGAGGAAGCAGTTCCTCAGCGCAGCACATCTTTTAGATGATTGTTCTAATGTTTGATTTCTGATTCTGTTTCATTTGAACAGTGCATTTTAGCCTTGGTTATGTATCAATTCTGCATGTGTTCGCTGCCTATCTGGACATAGTGGCAGAAGCTGTTGGTTTGCCGAAGCATGCCTTGAAAGATAATTCTTCTCCTCATGTTCCGTCCGCCGTCGTCAAAAGTTAGTTCACAGAATTGTGTCTTCTTACCACTTCGTTGCAAGTTCCAATATCACCTTCTGATGATGGCAAAATTTCAGCTCCTTCATTCAAATTAGCCTCACCGCCATCAGGTGGCTCATTGCGAGCCCATCGTGCCATAGCTAATAGCGCTAAGCTAAACGAGACTTTCGGCCTACCTGGACGACGGGGACGAGAACGTAGCCGATCCGTGGATAGGGCTGACTATATCGTTGGATCGACGGACCACGAAAATGAATCATGTGTACTTATGTAATGTACGCTCAGAAGTATTTTTGCCTTGG